AAATCAAGTACAAACGGCGAAGCAATCGGCGCGCCAAATGCGCGCCAACCGCGAGCCGCGACACCAAATGCGCGCTCAGCATGCAAACGCGAATGGCCAGCGCTGTGCATGTCCTGCTGCGTTGGGCTGCAAGTCGCTGGACATTGCTGCGTGAAAGATGCTGCTGCCCTAGGCAGCAATAGCCACACAACTCCTCGAGCAGTACTAATCCCACACGGCAGTTGAGTGATCAGTCCTGGAGTGTTCAGTCCTGAACGGCTGTTTGGTTTCCCGTTGGTTCTTGGCTGTTCCTGTTGGATTCAGCCATTTCGGCCTACTGACGCTCCACAGCAGCCCCAAAGGGCGAGAGCTAGCCCCAAGACGGTTTCAGAGGCCCCCTCCAGGGCGCCACACTGACCAAGAGACCCCAAAGACGCCACAGGAGACGTGCAGGACAGCCCCAAGAAGGCACCGTATCGCTAAAACATCACCGCCAGACGCTCATCAAGCCCTCCAGGTGGCCCCACCACTGACGACGACGCGCGAAAGAAGCATAGTACGGCGGGTGACCAGGACATGGGATGCAACTGTCACTCGGTGATGGGACGGCGTTGAGGATCGGCAGGAGTGTCTCAGGACGTCTGGAGGGGAGTTTGGGGGAGCCTCTTGGCGGCTTCCTGGGGTTTCCTGGGGGCCTCTTGGGGACTTCTTGGAGCCTCTCGGGGGCCTCTTGGGAGCTGCTTGGGACCTTTGGGGGGCCTCAAGGGCCGGACAGCTCGAAATGTCAGTTCGTGTTCCCCCTCTGGGGTCACACTTGAGGCGTTGTTGGAGCCCTCTTGGGCTGCCTTGGAAGCCTCGGGGGGCGTGTTGGGCCGCCTCGGTGCCCTCTTGGAGGCCTCGGGGGGGGGGGGGCAGGAGGGGGCCGGCCGGTAACCTACCCCTCGCGCTGTGGGCAGCCCTGCATATGCCCGCGCCCCCCCTGCCGCGGACCTCCACAACTGGCAAGGTTAGGTTATCCTGGGGGGGGGGGCAAGCCCGATACAGTCAACCCGTGCAGTAAGGATGCGCGACAAGGATGCAAGGGCCATGGGCCTGGACGCCCAACTCGAAGCTCTTCGAGCGGGGCGCGGCCAGCGGGAAGTAGTCAAGGACAGACCGAAGAGGCAAGGATGCGAGGGTACCCTTGGGAAGGTCGCCCACCCTTACTCTGCGGGTCGACTGTAACCCGGGTTATTTTCCCGACCCTAAGAAAAGAGCAGTCTCCCGTCTCCCCCCCCACCCCCTCCCCACCTGGGACTTGGGCCCCGTTGCTGGGCCCAGAGGGCGATGCCTTGCCCCCTCTTCCCCCCTCCACCTCCTCCTCCTCCTCCTCCTCCTCCTCCTCCTCCCCCTTCCTCTTCGTGCAAGAGCCATGGCACACGTGCCACTTGTTTTCCCGACCCTAAGAGGAGGAGGAGGGAGAGGAGGAGGAGGAGGAGGAGGAGGGAGAGGAGGAGGAGGAGGAGGAGGAGGAGAGGAGGAGGAGGAGGAGGAGGAGGAGGAGGAGGAGGAGGAGGAGGAGGAGGAGTGGAGTGGAGTGGAGCAATCGGGCGTAGTCCGTTCGGGAACCCAGAGACGCCAGGGGGGCCATCCAGAATTTCTCGGAGAGCCGTGAGGGGCGACATCCCACGGCACACCGCGACAGGCCCCCCTGGCCTCACAATTTACTCAGAGGCAGCGCCAGCCGCGTGAGAAACGATCGCGGCTTCGGCTGCCGAAACATGCATAGCCTCTAGAACAGACTTGCTGGGACCCGATCTGGACGGATGGAGGCCTCGCCTGATCCTGCTGAGGTTTTCGAGGCCTTTGCCAGTGGGTCCCAGGGCCCTGCGCTCTCCAACTTGGTGGGTGCGAGGGCAAGGGAACTGTAAGCTTTTGACCTGGTGTGTGGCCGTATGGCCGCACTTCACGCAGAAGAACATTTGCCACTTGGGGATGGTGGCCAACGTGTGGGAGGGGTGTATCGCCTTGCCACTGATCACACGGGGACCCCTCGACCACAGCACCTCGCCACACGCAGCAAACTCGGGAAGGGGGCAAGGCGGTACACACTCCGTGGCGGCGGCATCGACGATGATGAGGCAGGCAGAGCATCGCCATTTGTCTGCACACCGCTCGAATTTGTGCTGTGAAGCCGCGATCGCGGTCTGCAACAGAGAACGAGGGGCTGCCTCCTGCGTGGGTTGCCTCTCTGGCCACAGTCCTCGAGGCTCTGAATTCTCCCCTAAGGAACGTAGGATTAGTCGTGCCCGCTGTCGGACAATCGCTGCGATAGCATCGTATTCGTCAGTCCTGGGCACAGGCGGGAGGGCAAGGGTGGCCGACTTGTGGGCCGCGCTTCCCGCAAGCTCATCGGCTTGCTGATTGCCGAGCTAGGAATTTCTGAAAACCGTAAAGAGTCTGGGGATCGGCATGAGATGGGGTCCAGAGCACCGTGACCGAGGAGACGCCGCAAGGTCGATCCTGCACGAGATGCCGAATT